TAACACTTGAAAATTAGCTCAACTTCAATTAAATATTTTTCCATGGTTATATTTTATCCTTTTACTTTTTCTTTCTTAGTGTTGCCAGATGTTACTTTGTGCTACTAATTTGTATGCGCACCAGTTTATTTATGAGAGAAATATTTCAAATGTTTATTTTTCAATTGGTTTCAGTTTTGAAAATTTTTGCACTAATATATAGTACATACACACATATATATATATTTGTGGAAATATACTTACTACATACATTGTGTACGCATGCGGCGTTTATATATTTCGAACTCATGATTTTCAATATAACTCAATAAATAATACATAATAAATGGCAAGTATTTGTTGTTCTCTGAAATAGTATTTATATATTATGTATATACATGTGTGTATATAAATATGTTTATTTGCTTTTAATCAAATGAGTTCACCTCATTTTTTCGCCTTAGATTTATTAGCTTACGCAAATTAGTTTATTTATGCAGTCATTAAGTGGAAAAAGTACAATTGCTGCTAAAAATTACTAATGCTCTGCGGTGCTGCTCTTCACCCATGGCTAACATGCGCTTGTGTATTTATGTACTTATCACATTTCATGCGTCGGCCTTGAGTTATGATTTGCCAATGTGAGTTTTGCAATTAAAAACAACATCTCTATTCTTCAACAATACTGCTATTAATTAAGCAGATAATGTTGCACATATAAACATACACACACATTTAGAGACGTGTGTACATTTTCAGAGCTAAGTTTTGTTTATCCTTGAAGAAGATTTTGCCCAGAAGCACAAATTCGCCGGAACATATTTGGTCAGTTTGCGATTTTTTATCTTATCTTTATTTATAAATAATAGATATTTCGCATGTTGCTCAGCGAAATTCCACGAAACCCACATTACGAGACTTTGCTCATGTATATTTGCTTTGGAGCTACTTTGCGTAGCGCGTGTACGAAAGAATCGTTTGCGCTCAGGTGGGAAAAATGGAGCAATTGCTAAAAGATATACATATGTATGTATGTACATACCATATGCATATCATATATTAATGTACATATGTATGTATATATATTCTGTTTCAATTTGTGAATTGAGTATTCAGTCACAATGCAATGAAATTTATGTGTATTCAATTTTTCAAAATTTTTTCAGTTACATATTTTTTTAGAATTAAAATTTGCATATTATACAAATTGTATTTTTATTTGGGGTGTTCACAACCTGTCTTAAAGCATCGTAAAGTCGTAAAATTTAAAATTTTTACACTTGTTTAAATAAAAATTAGGGTTTTCACATCTATCTTAAAGTTATAAGTTATAACGATTCGAAAACATAGTATTGAGAATTGTAAATGTGTAAAGTAATTTTTGTATGTAATCCAACAACAAATTTTTTTTAAACAAGTGTAAAAATTTAAAATTTTACGACTTTACGATTTAAGACAGGTTGTGAATACCCCAATTATTTTTTATTTTAACAATATTTTACTTTTGTTGTTTACCGCTTTCAAATTGATCGATCATGTCAGTCGTGACATTTGCATACTAACTAGTACGGGTATTGTGTGTTATTGGGTGGCGAGTTCTAACTTATTTTTGCGCGAATAAAGATATGCATTGTGACAAAAAAATACCCGGAAATTTTAACTAAAACACAAAGCATTTAATTATTCATCAATATTTATTTTGTCGCCTTCATTTTTGCATTTCTCGAAACACTTTTCATAATCACCTTTTGGGATGACCTTCAGTTTCTTCGGCGAATTTTGTTTTATCTCTACGATCGAGGAAGAGCGGGTTCCACTGAGCGGCAATTTCACTTTGGGGAACAAGTAAAAACCGTCCGCCCTTCCGGAACAAATTCATGATGCATCAAACCACGAATATCGAAAAAACCCAGATCAAACAATGGCTTTGGCGTGTTGTTTTCGGTTCCTTTTTCCCTTCATTCCGATGATTGTTGACTTTTTATGTGTTCAAACTCATAAACCTATGTCTCATAGGCAGTTTAAATGCTGTCCATGAAAGTGAGCGAAAATCGCACGTCAAGCACGTCCAAAGAGACCAGTTTGTTCATTTCACCCATTCCTTTCAAACGGACTCGCAATAGATTTCGCGTTTCTTGCCAGCTCTCTAACGTTTGCTTGACGATTTTCAAGCACCTTCACTTTTTTTTTTAATATTTTTTCCATCAGTTCAAGAGGTCGTCTACAACGAGCCATGTATTTAACGATCTCTCGGCCGTCTTTGAAAGCCTTGTACCCCTCATAGGCTTGTGGTTTTGTTAAAACTGAAACACCGTAAGCCTTTTCCAATTTGATTAGAAATATAAAATTTAAGACAAATTCTTCGTTCCATGTTTTTTTGTCACAATGTAGATAATGGCGGGTGCTATGTTGTAAAACACAAAAAAATCAGTTAGTTAAATAAAATCACTCCTTGCTTATCCAACTAGGTCACTGAATTCAAAATATATGTTACAAATAGGATATAGTGCTGTTCGATTTGCCACTTCTCTGCACGCTATGTTTTGAAGTTGTTCAGTGACTTCAGTATAGTAGGTTATTCTTGTTATTTATGTATCTTTATTTGAAAAATGATTTATGCCAGTTTGCTGGTCGATTCGCTATTCACTAAGCTTATCTATTTAAATAGCAAAATATCTATTTAAAAGTAAATACTTTAACAAATAAATTTTTTTGACTTTAGTAGCGGACAAAGTAGTTTTCATGGTCTAGATTAATTTGATTTGAAATGAGAAACAGCTGATTTAGTAGGTGATGTCAGGGTTGGTATATTAATGTAAAGATTCATCAAATATTTGGCGTTCTAAGGCGATTAAAATCAGTTTAATTGTAATGCAAAGTCATATTCCACAATAAAAGAACGAGATAATAATACTCAAAGGTGCTTTCGAAATTGTTACTTTTAAGTGTCATAACTGACTCATAAGTAGCATTACCAGTCTATAAAGTTTAGCTTACAAAAGGCAGCAAAAATCAAGCGGCATCAGCTTGATACCAGTGAAAAATTATTGACTAAAGAACCTGTATGTTTTGTACATCTTTTAACATATGTTTAAAAAATATATCAGTTCCGATTGAAATACAAAGTTCCTAGTGCCTACTGTCTCAAGTAAGTCAAACTCATCTAGAATTTGTCTGAAAAAATATCTCAGGTTCACCATAAACTGGTCAAATAGTTGTCTTCGAAACTACCATAGCGGAGCCAATTCCTAACGCTGATATCTTACACCGACGTTAACTCTTTTTGGAACTTTTGGAAAGTAATAACTTTAATTAAAGAGTAGGAAGCAAGCGAAAATTACTCTCACTAGATTGTTGATTACTCAAACAAAGGCTTTTACGCCCATTTTCTCTTAAAATAAAAATTTATCACTACAGTAGTTTTGAATTTTTAAACTGCTGTTTTTGCTAGGGTGTGGAATAATAATTTTTTACTACCAAAGTTATTATTTTTATAAAACTGGATTGCCCAGCAAATTGTAGAAGCAGGCTCAAGGCCCCAGGTTCGAACTACGTGGACAGAGATCATATCATCTCAGTTGGTTTGTAGATTGACTGGGAGGTCATTAAATGCCGTTTTTGGATGAGTAAATCTTACTAAATTGTTCTGCTTTGTTTGGATATTAATTGCATCGAATTTTTGTAGATATTAGAGTTCAATCATTTTCTATAAAAATTTTTAAGAGCTTACATGACTTTACGGGTTTAAAAAAATCTCTTTTTTTTATTATCTTATTAAATTCTACATCTCCTCTAGAATATTGCCCGAAATTTGTAAGTTGATCCGAGTAATAGTTTCGAAGTTACAGATTTGAGAACTTGAGCGCTTGAGCCTGGCTGGGCTAAGTGTGCCATCTTTAAACGCCTTTTTCTCGAAACTGTGTTTTTGAAGTCGGTTGACGAGATTTCTCGAGAACTGCCCAACCGATCATCATGAAATTTTACACTGGTACAATTCTTAAAGACTTGGACGAAGAAAATGTCGCAAATTTTCATTGAAATATTATTTTTGTAAAAGTGTCTGCCAAAAATCCAAATTTCAGCTTTTTTTCCTTCGTAAGTTTAGTACACTTAAGGATTTAACTAAAAACATAATTTGTTCACGTTAGATGGAATAAGGAGTTATCCTGGCAACGCGGACGCATATTTTTTCCGAGAGGTTGCCGGATATGTCGTCGCAATGGCCGAGTTTAAAATAATTTTTTTTTTTTTTCAAAACATCAGAAGTTCTTTGTTAATAGCGTCTGTTTGTGACAATAAAAAAGTCTAATAAAATATTTAATTTTTTATAAGAGTAAATTATTATTGAAAAAAGGATGTTTTTTACCCGCGCAAACTCATGTAACCTGGAGACATTTTCATAACATAATAAGTTGTGGTGCTTCCTTTGTTGGTGAGTTCAAAGTCTGCCTGTTTGTTAACGTGCTCTTTTCTAATCTTCCAAAAAACCTATGAACCTATGATAAAATCCTTGCATACCAAGTTTACACAAAAATTTCGAGTGTTTAAATACTCTGAGTAACACGTGGCGCACGGGAATAAATATAAACCAATTAAAAAATTATCTACCTGCATCACTTCTCAAAAGAAACTGCAAATCTACTTATATACATATATATTATTATACGTTTCTTTTGCGACATTGCCGGTTATCCCCACAAAAGCTATAAAAAATCATTGCATATCTCATTATCATCTGCTTGAAACAAGATCCGTGCAAGTCGGGTTATACAGAAATGAGAAGGGCAAGCACTATACAATTCGCACCAGAGTTATTAAGTGTGGATTTTTTGATGTTTTGGCACTTTTTATATCCTCCGTCTGTGCGCAATAAATTATAGCTCACTTTTGGTTTTTTCTTACTTTCCATAGAACGTACTATGTTGGTATATAATTTGGTATAGGTATATTCATATATGTCCACAATGTTTACACTCCAATAACTCATAAGCTTTGTTAAATAATTATTATTCCACTTACAGGCCACGAATGTCATTCGTCCGCGCTATTACTCCTCCGAGTTGGGTATACGCGAGAAGATCTTCATTGGCGTGATGACGTCACAGGACAACATCAATACTCTAGCGACGGCGATAAATCGCACCACAGCGCATTTGGTGAATAAAATTAAATTCTTCATTAACGCCGACAATGTGAAAACGAACTATAAACTCAAGAATATTGTCGGCTTCACAGACACACGCGAGAGTCTGCGACCATTCCATGTGATAAAATACATTGCGGATAATTACCTCGATGACTACGATTACTTTCTGATCATGCCAGATACGGTGTACGTGGATGCACGTAAACTGAAGACACTGCTCTATCACATCAGCATCACTTTCGATCTATATATGGGTGCCAGACTGGAGCAGAATATCGCGGATGGTGGTGACAGTGCGGCGGCGGCGGCTGCGGCGTCCAGACGTATCTCGAATTCCAATGGTGTTGATGATCTCGGCAGTCAAAGTGATCGTAATTACTGTGATTTAAATGCCGGCATTTTGCTTAGCAGCAGTGTCATACGTAAGATGCGCAACAATCTGGATTGGTGTGTGCGTAATGGCGTCAGCAATGTGCATAGCGTCAATATCGGTCGTTGTGTAAAGTATTCAAGTAATTTGTCCGGATGTCAGACAAGCTTTCAGGTGAGCGCATACTTGACTTAAATAGATCTCTAGTAAATAATAGTAGTTAAGTGAATTTGTAAATATTGTACAGATTATACATGCCTGTTTACCTTTTCCGTAATAATCGTATGTATCGCAACCAGCTCATGATCGAAAATATTTAAGCAAAATAGGTAGAATTATGCAAAAAAAAGCAAGCACTGCCTTTGCGAGATATTTTACTTCGCTAAAAATATTAATGATGATCTTCTGCGCAATGCAATGGAAAATCTGTGATGACGTACATAAACTTCAAAACGTAATTAAAGCATTCAAACGTCGTACTAGTACAGTAACCTTCATGGAACTCAGTGAAACCAAATTTAGTTGACTACAAGGAATAATTGAATGTTAACACGAGTTAATGATGATTGCAACAAATAAGTATTGAAGACGGGCGTCAGTTTGACAGCGGGAACATTATGAGTATTTATAAATGCAGACTGCGTTGAAGCGCAAAAGCCTTATGTTATATTAGTTGTCAAAAAAGTCTTGCGGTGTTTTCGCTAGTTGGCGCTGAGAGCGCGTAGTTCTAGTTTTATTCGTCGCATCGGGTCATGCTATACCTTTTTGGAAAGCGCATTTCACGCGCTAACATTGATTGTCGTTTCTTTTTAGTCGTTCGTGAATTATACCGTCGCAAACATGAAGCAAAATAAAGAGAAAATACGGCATATTTTACAGTACTACTACGATAAAGGCAAAAATGCACCTCAAGCCGCCAATAAAATTTTTGCAGTTTATGGACCCGATACAGTTTCCATTTCCACCGCACAACGATGGGTTCAACGTTTTCGTTCTGGTGTGAAGGTGGTCGAAGGTGCGCCACGCTCCGGAAGGCCTGCCGTCGAAAGGTCTGAATTGGTCGAAAGAAACCGGCATAGTAGCAGCCGTAGCATCGGTCAAGAGCTGGGCATGAGTCATCAAAAAAAAAAATTTATGAACAATTGAAAATTCAATAAAAATACCGCAAGACTTTTTTGACAAACTAATATTATGTAATGGGTAGTCAAAAAAGGCGCGAGGTGCCTTGAAAAATATAATATATATAGCGAATATGAATATAAATAAACATAAATATACGTCATAAATATACATATAGATATAATATTAGTTTAATTTCCCTGTCAAAATAATCGATACGAAATTTATTTCGAAGATAATAAGTTGCAATGTAATCTTGTTTGATTTTATATTATTAAGATAACAACTCAACTCAATCAACATAAGATAAGACCAAAATCCTCACATCACTTAGTGGCGTTAGAAGTAGTTGAACTACAAATTTGATAGAGATAGCAGAAAAGTAAAGAATTTTGAAATTTTTTGATTTTAAAAGCTAATTAGACCGATATTGTAAATACAGTAGCACACACTTACGTTTAAAGTTCTTTTTTGAAGCGAAGATATAATATTGACCCTTAACAAAATTCCCACAACACTTGGGGACTTAGCGTCTACCTGGTAGGGAAATGTACCACCATACGTAGATTGCTTTTTAAAAAGGGGGATGCAATTCGTTGTTCCTTACTTCACAGAAACGTGGAATGTTTATTGTCATTAGAAAGAACATTATTTGGCATTTTTGTTTTGAAGATTATCTCTTTCAAATGTTGGCTGCGGCTACATCTCAGATGATCCATCCGTTCAGTCCAATTTTCGATGACTCTTTCGAGCATTTCGACTAATAACTGGCGAATGACACGCGTGATGTTTTGCTACAAGGCCTGAATCGAAGCAAGATTGTCCATATTTACTTTAGTTTTTACATATCCCTACAGGAAAAAGTCTAACGGTGTTACATCACACGATTTTGGTGAGTAATCGACCGGCCCAAAACGTTAGATTATCTGCTCAATGAAATATTTAATGATTGAGATATAATTGTACATATGTATGTATATTTAGGGTTGCGAATTTTGTAGAAATTTTATTTCTGGTCATTATTTTGAGATTAAAAATTGTATTTTAATTTGTTAATCCCGATGTTGGAAATAAAAATTATATGTTCATTTTTTGTTTGGAATGAAGCATGCTAAAACGAAAAAATTTTAATTCTAAAAAAAAATTTTATCTTAATTATATGCTTGGCACACAAAATTTTTCTCCTTTGGGATTACAAAATAAAAAAAAAAACGAATTACAATTTTTTTTAATGCTGAATACGTTTCGATATTTGTCTCTCTTTTTACTTCGTTTAGTTCTTCACAGCATTTCATAAATTTTTTTTTTCATTTATTCAGCTAGTGCCCTGTTGAAAGATTAAGTACTTCGTTCTTGTCAAAAAGAAGAAAAAAACTTTAATTTAGGTCGCACCGAATCTAGAATACCCTTCACAAATAAAGAAGTTTCCAAACAAGAACTTGATTTTGATCGATCAGTTTGGATGGCAGCTACAACTGTAGTAGTCATGTAACGGTACCATCAAATAAGCTATTCTTTGATGAGAAAAAATTTTCAAAATTTCAGATAGAGGTCTCAAAAACTCAGATACTTTCTGAGGGTGACAAACTTAAAATATTCTTCTTTTGGTTCCACGTAATGTTTTTTTTTATTGATTGTATACAAAATCAGAACACGAAAACAAGAAAAAACGTTAACTCCGGTTGCACCGAAGCTAAATACCCTTCACAGGTGCATTTCTGTTAATAACTATGTGTTCAGTTTGTATGGAAGCTATGTGCTATAGTAATCCGTTCTGTGAACAATTTTTATGGAGATTATATTGTTACCTTAAGCAGTAATCCATGCCAAATTTCGTGACGATACGACGTCAAATGCGAAAGTTTTCGATATAAGTACTAGATTCCGGTCGTTCAGTTTGTATGGCAGCTATATGATATAGTTCACCGATCTGAATAATTTGTTCTGAGATTACATTGTTGCCTTAGAGAATAATCTATACCAAATTTCGTGAATATATCTCGTCAAATATAAAAGTTTTCCATACAAGAACTTAATTCCGATCCGATATATATACAGACAGACGGACATGGCTAAATCGACTATTTATATACATATGTATATACTTTATAGGGTCGCCGACCTTTTCTTCTGGGTGTTACAAACTTCGTGACAAACTTAATATACCCTGTTCGGGGTATAAATATGAACTGCAGTCAATAATAAATATAATACTGTCATATTAAAAATAGCAAAGAGTTCATCTGATAAGAATGGTGTGCCGTTTGAACTGTAATATCGTCACGCTGTGGCCGTGAAGTATTGATTAAGAATACCGCTTTAGCGACTATTTTCAACGTTCTACAAAGTTTCCAATAGTGTCATAACGGAACTGTGAATTAGCCATAAATAATATAAATCATATGTTTAGTTCGACAGAAGTATAAAATTGAAGGTCAGATTTCGTCGATTTCTGCCGCTAACTTCATAATGTATATAATTGAGATATCTTGATATAAGATATTATTGCCCGTAATTATATGAGATATATTTATAGAATGATATCAAAGTGTTAAGATTAACATAGTATGATATCGTTTCAAATTTTCGCTTAGTTGTTTTTTTTTTTTTTTTGTTGAAATTTTATTTTTGCGATAAAATTTTGGTTATAATATATTATATTTACGCCCTCATTTGGCCAATGACCTGTTAACCATATTCCCTCCCCAATTTTTTCATTCAGATTATTTGAATATTTTTAAGCAAATATTTTTCTGTTATCTTTTAATCAAAAATAAATGGAATGGGTGAAAAAGCTGCAGACATGTTTCCCCGCATGGTCATACTCGCAGTCCATTGAAAGGAATCAAAAAGCTCGATCGGCAATCTTCTGTGTGCCATCGACTTGAAAGTGTGATGACAGCAGAATTTTGGACGCATGCTCTTGACTTGTCAACATCTACACATTTACATACATACGTAAATGTGATTATGTAAATATATGTCTATGCTAGGTGTACATTAAAAAGTTGCTCGTGCCACGCTTTTGCGTTTTTTCGTTTATCATCAGCTACATTTCGGTTTTAGTTGGGCTTTAATTCAATTTTATATTTTTATTTGTTATATAAATTATGTGTTGACTTCCCGAGTAAGCATACACACGCAAACCAGCAGTGAAATTACACAAGCCTAATCAAACAGTCAGGCGAACAGGCCAATGGACGGACGCGTAAATCAAGTCATGCCACTTTGCGACCACTCAATTTAACGTAAATACTAGTACATATAAGTATATGTGTGTATGTATGTCGTAATGTGCATAGTATGTACTTGTAGTTATGCATATACTGTTAACAGACAAGACAATTCGATACCGTTCCAAAAATATGAGGTGAGAATTCGTTGGTGATTTTTTATTCGAGTTCATTGATTTATTGCTGACCCTGAAAATATGTAGTAAGAAGCAACGCCACCAAGCATTTAATTACAAAAATAAATATTGCAACTAAATATACACTCATAGGTGCATATATATGAACGAGATTGGACCGATAAATACTTAAACTCACCGCGCACTCAAGTATCACAAGAAATACTTCTTTATTGACGTAGACATCGTTTACGCGGTTATAGCCGAGTTAAGAACAGCGCGCCAGTCGTTCTTCCTTTTCTCTATTTGGCGTCAGTTGGAGATTCCACGCGAAGCCAGATCCTCCTCCAAATGGTCTTTCCAAAGAAGGTGATGTCTTCCTCTTCCTCTGCTTTCCCCGATGGGTACTGCGTCGAATACTTTCAGAATTGAGGTGTTTTTTCCCATTCAGATAAAATGTCCTAGTCAGCTTAGCCGCTGTCTCTTAATTCCCTGAACTATGTCAATGTTGTCGTATATCTTGTACAATACATCGTTCCATCGAATTCAATATTCATCGTTGCCAACGCGCAAAGGACCATAAATCTTACGCACAATCTTTCTTTCGAAAAGGACTTTACTTCTCAATTGCCTACAATAGATACTTACTATCGGGAATAACCTGCTATCCAAATTTCCACTCAAATAGCTTGATCATATCTGTCTG